GGTGCTCCCGACAGGGCGCCGGGGGCCGGGGAAGGCGGTGCGGCAGTGCCAGCGGAGCCGCTCTCGCCAGAAAAGCGACGTTTTGTCTCCCGGGTTGCGCCTTGACGGCTTGGTCTGCGCCAGGAGCCTCCACCGGTACAGCTGCTTGGGCTGGGAGAGCCGCGCTGGTCTGTGGCCGGGACTGAGGTTAAGCTGGCGGCGGGAGAGCTGTGGTAACTGCCCGCGGTGGTGACCTGGAAGGTAACGGCTGGGATGGCGGGATAACAAAACTCTGCAGGGCTTCGTGGTTCAGAACAATTAAGTAACCACACTGAAAACAGTGGGGGAGAAAGAAATCAGTAAGGACTGAGACTAGCAAAAATTAAAACCGAAGATGTTGGGAGTATTTTGCTCAAAAAGGTACTTCGAACAAACCGCCCTCCAGACTCTGATCCAAAAGGGGATCAGTTAGGAAGCTATTTAGAGTGTAAAGAGCTAAAATGTGTTATGCATGTAAATATATGAAACCAAACCACGTTCCTTCTTTCCACCACTGTTCTTCCAGACATGACAGAAGCCAAGTTTTCCCATTGTGTTGCTTGTAGAGCAGCTGGGGGGGGGCGGGAATAAAGTTTCTCACCTTAGGAGCTGCACAGGGAAACTTTTGAGACACCTCAAAACCAGGGAGCAAAAATACCTTGTTTTTATGGAGCGGATGTACACGGCATGCATCTGTACTTATTTATGCTCGCAGATTGGTTGAAGAGGCTTGACCGTGGTTTTGCATACTTAAGGTAGCAACAGGCTGCACAGGGAGGTGGTGGAGTCACCGTCCCTGGAAGTGTTCAAAAAACGTGTCGATATGGCACTTCAGGACATGGATGAGCAGGCGTGGTGGTGGTGGGTTGACAGTTGGACTTGATGGTCTTGGAGGTCTTTTCCAACCTTATCGACTCTGTGATCTCACAGCACTGGCAGGAGCGTGGGCACATCTGACCCGGTTGAGGCGAGGCAGAAGTAAGGATACAGGGTGGGCTTCAGTGCTGTGTGCCCCGCTTCGCAATCTGCCCTCATTATATAAACCTATCCGTAATTTACACACACACCCGTGTTTATAAAACACTCCCGGTCGGAGCATTTCCCTGCCTCGGAAGCCTCGAATCTGGCGCTGGAGAAGCCCTTGACCTGCGGCAGGGGCGGGCGGGAGCAAAGGAGGGAGCCTCCTCCAGCCCCTTCTCCTCCCTTCGCGGGGGGGGGCTGGGGTGG